CTCTCCATGTGCTGCCCCCACCCCGAGCAATGACTCCACAGCTCCCACTGGCCAAGAACTGCAGCCAGTGGGGGCAGTGCCTGCAGACAGTGGAGAGAGGATGTCCTCCCTCCCCCCACGCTCCCTGCCTGGGAGCCGCTACCAGAGAGGTGTGCCAGTCAGGATCTGCCTGATGTAAGTGCTGCCCCCCACACTCTTCCCACCCCCAAACTCCCTTCCAGAGCCTGCACCGCACCCCGCCCCCAAACTCCCTCCCATTGCCTGCACCCCACCCCGCCCCCAAACTCCCTCCCATTGCCTGCACCCCACCCCGCCCCCAAACTCCCTCCCATTGCCTGCACCCCACCCCGCCCCCAAACTCCCTCCCATTGCCTGCACCCCACCCCGCCCCCAAACTCCCTCCCATTGCCTGTGCCTCGCCCCCAAACTCCCTCTCATTGCCTGCACCCCACCCCCCACCCAAACTCCCTTCCAGAGCCATCATCCTGCACCCAAGCCCTTTACCCCAGCCTGGTGAAAGTAAGTTAGGAAGGGGTGGGACAGAGGAGTGGCCACAGGGAAGAGGCAGGTCAGGGGTCATGTCAAGGTTCTCTGGGTTTGCCCAGTTAGCCAGCTGACAACCCTACCAGATGGGCATATGGAAACCCGGGCCATGCTGGCAGCTCCCTGGGCACCAGCCAGCGTAGGCTCAGCACCACCCCAATGTCAGAGACCTCGGCCGCGTGGGCATGGCTTAGGCCTGCAGTGAGCATTCTGCCCGGGGGCCCGGAATTGCTGTCGGCAGCCCGAAGCAAACTGAACAAAGGCACACGCAGCTGGTTTAATTATCGAGCACAAGAAAGCGCCAACATTCGTTAGTCCCGTGTTTCCATTTTAAAGAGCAGGAGCACTTTGAAATTGGGTTTGTGGGGTTTTAAGAGACTGAAATAAATCACAGGAATAGCTCTGAAGATTCTTTTTGAACTCCAGCTTTATACATTAGAATTTTCCACTGTTCATCTTCATATGCTGCATGTATTTATCCTCTTCTTTAATACAAGGACAAGGGAACATTCAACAGCATTGAAAGGTAACTTTCAAAATGACAGAAGAAAATACTCTTATAGTCACTGTGCAGTTAATCTGTGGAACTCATTGCCATAGTATTCACTAGAGGCAGTGAGCTTAGTTGGGTGCAATAAAGTAGATATTTGTGTGGGATAATGAGAACATCCAGTTATACTAGTAAGGTTTTTTTTTAAGGGACATACATTCTCCATCTAATTGATGAGAATTAGGTAGAAACTTGCCCTATGGGCAGGTTATTTTATAATTCAGTGTTTTTCAGCCGGTGGTACAAGTATCCTTACAGGTATTTGAGAGAAGTCTGGGGTCAACACAACTGAAATTTGGAGAAAACTGAATTTTTGTTTTAAGTTTTACAGCGCTTTATTATTTTTATACTTTTTACATCCTAAAATTCCATCGCCCGACTGGCTACGATTCAGTTTGTTTAAAAAAAATTGTGTGTCTATGAAAACTGTAGGGGTACTTTATAAAAAAAATTGAGAAACACTGCTATAATTGTCTACTGTGGGATTTCTTGCACTACCCTCAGAAACATCTGGAGGAGCTGGCCAGTGGTAAGCATTTGCGGGCAGGTACTTGTGCAAGTGTTCAGCCCGTGGTATGATAGGGTATGATCTTGAATGAGACCTGTGTGTGTTGTTGTAATATAGGTAAAGCTCACTGTCAGACACAGCCCTGGATTAGGTGGAACAGAGCTTTGATTAGGTCTGACAGCTCCCATTTTTATGCTTCTTTATGCTAAGGAAATCAGTTCAACCTCATGTAAAGTTAATTTTACCTATCTGCGAGCTTCGGGGTTGGTTGTCTTCTCCTCAGCAAAGTGCTTGTGGGCTTCTTGGAGCAAGAAGTGAGACCTTCACAGTGAGAGGTGGGGAGTTTGTGCTGAATGTCTCCCTTTCCCCGTGTGGTTTGCATTATTTGTATTTCTTTGGATGGCAGCTGTGCCCACAGGCCTGGGCCATGCAGTACCAGGCATGGGGCAAAGAGCTCTCTGGGATGCTTTCAAACCTTGCAACCTAAACTTAAGGTGACCCAACAGATGGGTAAGACATGGACAGCAGGGGTGGGAGAACCCAGTATCACAGCGGCGCTCCTGGGCAGCGCGGGAAGCAGTGGTCCCAGTCCTGCATGAGCTGGCTAATCAGTGTCAAGTAGGATGTAAAATCTCATCTAATTGGTTAGCAGGTTAAATGTATTGTTTACCCAGTTAACCGATTAAAGAGGGGTCCTCCCCTCCCCTCTCTCAGACAGGGGCTGCTCCCGTCCGGCTATAGCTGCCTCTGTCTGCAGCCGTCCCCCTGGAGGGCTGGAACACTGGGTCCTTCTGGGTCACTGATCCACCTGCCAAAACGAACCAAAACTGCTGCTTACAGCCACTCGAGTGGAACCGAGGGGAGGTATGCATAGCACCATAAATATTAAAGACGGGCGCATCAAAATCCAACTGGGGAGTCCCCAGCAGAATGTCCCACGGAGTTAATTGGCACAACAGGCTGCTTCTCACCCTCTCGGCCTCCGCTTGCCCAGTCTGCTTTTCTGCAGAAGTCCCCGGGCATGTATGGCTGTGAGATTGAGCAAAGCTGGGCTCTCTTCCCAGCGGAATGGACGTGTTCGTAGGGCAGCTCTCTGATCTTCCAGAGGCCCTCTTTGGAAACGGGTCCCTAAACCCGACTGCTGGAAATGTTTACAACAGGGGTCCCCAACGCGGTGCCCACGGGTGCCATGGCGCCCACTGGGGCATTTATGTGCACCCGCCAAATGAGCTGAGCCAGCCCCACCCCTGGGCACGTGGCATATGTGCAATGGCGGACCCGGGCACGTGGCGCATGGGCAGCCGCTGCCCCTGGGCACATGGTACGTGAGCAGCCCCGCCCCTGGGCGCTCGGCAGCCCCAAAAGGTTGGGGACCGCTGGACAGTGACTTTCAATTTCCACAAGAAGGTGAGGACAGCTGAGTGGAGTGGAAGCTAACTAGCTGCATGAGCACTTTTACCCTAAGTCACTAAATAGGAAGAGAAGGCACCATAAAGGAGACATCGTCTCCATCCAACCCCTAAACTTGCCTGGAAGAACAGCACTGTCATTCCCTGTTTGCTGCATGGAGCTCGGTGCCTCCTATGCGCTATAAAACTTCTGTGAGCTGCCCGGGGCGGGCACTGTCTGTATGTTTGTGTGCACAACCCAAGGCCCCTGTTATGTTACAGAGAGGCAGTGCTCCTGCCATAACGCCCATTGTATCTCCCTGTGTCCATTTAACCTGAAATAGACCAGAGCTCTGAGGAGGAAAGGACCCATCCATGCTCAAGTGGCAGCATCATGAAAAACTGATTTGAAATCCTGACTCCTGTCCCACATCTGCCTCCCTCCAGCTCATGCCGGTGAGATTTCTGGGCCCAATCCTGTTCCTACAGATGTCAATGGAGTTTACTCACCATTGACATCAGGGAGGTAAGAATCTGTATATGTTCTGTGCTCTCGTTCCTTACACAGAGCCTATCCGCTGATAGCCCCTTCCAACACAAGCTCCTGTTACTAAAAGCCGAGCTCTTCCTGGGAGCTGGCTTGTTCCTCAACCATTATCCTCATTGTCATTTCTATATTTCTCCCATTGCTTGGGGTACCCACCTGTTGCCTTTTGTCTACTATTAGATGGCTCAGTTGCTTGGGCTGAGATCATGTCTTCTAGAATGGGCCTACATCCCCCAATATGATGGGGTCCCATCCTTATTGGAGTCTCTGGTCACTACTGCCATGGAAATAATACTTAGAGAGTCTTAAGGACCTAGCGTTCTGTGTCTCTTTGCAGAGGGTGGGTGGTAATGATGGAAGACTCCGTTTGTGGAGCTGGGTTCTAATTCTAGCTCTGCAGGGGCTTATCTGGACTACACGGAACAGGCAAGAGAGGATATGCAAATTCCCCAGGAAATGAGGTTTACGCGGCTTTTCGACAAGGGGGGGTTGCCGAAAAAGTCATGTCTACTCTACTTTCACTTTCAAAAGCTCTGCTTTCCAAAGTGCGATCTGAAGAAAATATGCAAATTCCCCGGGAATTTGCATATCCTCTTTCGACTGTTCCGCGTAGTCTAGATAAGCCCCAGGTGAGCAGTTTGCTAGGGAGGGGTCGTAGTCTCTCCTGAAATAAAGCTGATTTTGATCCCCACTTATAAGTCCAAAAAAATCCCTCCGACTGGCACATTGCCAGGGTCCAGCCATCTCCTCGATGACTTGAACCCGTTCTGAAAATTGAGCAAACTAAAGGACAGTCTGAAAATCCTGCAGAATTCTCCAAGGGCAACAGTTCTGTAATGATCTAGAGACAAGAGGGACAAGGACCAAAAGAACAATGAGCTTCAGAGTGTGCGTGTGTGGCGGGGGGTGTTAACGCAGCGCTAGGGACAGACAAAAGCCGCCTAGAACTGAAAGGAGCGCGGAAGGTGATACTACGACAGGCTGTGGACGCTATTAGATTGTGGAATTGTCTCCCGGGGAAATGGTCAAAAACTAGACTGGCCCAAGCACTAACGTGTGCTCTCTGCATTGTCCTGTGTTGGTGACACTGCCATTTTCAGCTCTCCACTGAGTCAAAGCTCCATAGACTAGCTGCCCCTGGCCTGCCCCAGCTCTGGAGTAAGCATGAGGTATCTTACAGAGCAGGGTGGAAGAAGGACAGAGTTTGCGCCTTCTTTGAGCTGTCCCTGCCTTGGAGAGCA